CACTGTGGACCACCAGGTGACACTATGGATGGCCAAGTGACACTATGGACTGCCAGGTGACACTATGAATCACCAGGTGACACTATGGACCGCCAGGTGACACTCACCCTGAGTCCACCTGCTGGTGGCCCTGATGTTTCCATCTGCTTTTCCAACTGTTCTTTCTTCTTCTTCTTTGCCTCCACTGATTGGATATCCAAAATCCCCCGAGATGCGGCCTTTCAGAAAGTCAACCAAGGGCGATTACAAGGGAAAACAAAAGTATATGGTGTCTGAACGTGCTTATTTTGCTTTTTATCTTTTCATTTAGGGGTGGGAAATTGGTTTGGTTCGGGTAACAGGGCAGCATGCTACAACAGCCTTGCATAAAACACAGCCATTTTTCAATCACACAGAATTCCTCCTTCAACCTAGATCATTCACACTGATCAGCATGGTGGGTTTATCCTGAGGGAAAATGCTATCATAGGACAGTCTCAAGTCCGAAAGCCATCTAGGGCTATTTTCGCAGTAAGCAATGTAAATGATGCAGTTCATGGATACTTGGACATCATTTTGAGAGTGGTTATCCCTGAGTATGAAGTGGTGAATGCCATCATTCACTTTCCAGCATGGGAACAGGGCAGACTGCAGACAGATAAATCAACCGCTTGTCAAACAGGCAAACTATTGCGTGTTTACCTCTTTCTGTCTTCTTTCTGCTGCCTCTGCCAGCTTTGCTCTTTTCTCTTCCTAAGAAAATTCAAGAGAAAAACACATCACAGACCCCCCCCCACACCTTCACTTTAGAGACAACAAAATAAATAATGTGTAAATTGAAACAGTTTGCAAAAACTTAGTATGGGTGCAAAAGCCTCAGAAAGCAAGTCACTGTAAGAGCCCACTAAGATGTGCTGGAACTACAGTCCTAGATGCTAATGTGAGGGACCATACATATTATAGATTACTGGAGGCCAGCTCAGGACTAGCATGACCAACATGGTAAGAATACACCCACGCAAAATAAAACAGAATAATCCAGAGTTCTACAAATATTACAGTATTTATTAAATATTTGACTTTCTGAATTTCTCTCTCTAGACCAATATACCAAATTAGCACACATGGAAATTGAGGATAATTTGGAAGTTAGTTCAAAAGGACAATGAAGCAGGCTGCAGTTAGGGGAAAACATTTAGAACCAATGGGCTGATGTTGCTATGTAGGGTGGGGAAGACAAGAAAAGAAACTCAGGGGGCACCTGTCCCACCTCTGGAGGCACCATGCATTATTTTTCTCTGCCCTTTACTTCTCTTGGGACTTCTCTTGGGTGTGATTTTAACCATTCCTTCTCCACACCAAGGACACACATCCATCCATCCCAATGAGTGTCACCAATTTTTCTAGGCACTAGGAACCCAGCCGTGAAATACAGCCATCCATGCACATAAAGCTTGAGTTCTGTAAGCAAATACACATGTGTGTGTCTGAAGGAAGTAAGTACTCGGGGAGAGATGTAATGATCATGGTAGGTAAGGAAGAGGCAGGGGGTTGCTGGCCCCACAGCATGTTTATTTAGGAGGCCAGGGAAATCTTAGGTGCTAAGTAAAATACACCAGTGGGCCCAGCGGTTAAGGGAAGAGGATGGCGGTGGGGACAGATGGCTTAACAAACGCTCACAGAAAGATACTTTTCTCATGAGCTAAACAAAATTAACATTTAAAATCAACAACAGCCACAAAGAAAAGCTGAACTTTCCCACATTAACTAAACAGTCACCGTAGTATCTATAGCCTAGTGGCTAACGGACTAATATACTTCCCTAAATTCCTCATAGCTTCAACTAATTTTTAGCCACATCAAGAAAAAAAATTATGTTATGTGATCAAATATAGGCAAAATATTAACACAAGTGTACAGTTAGAGCATTAGGCTTGCTTATATTCATTTCAGAAATAATGACTGCTTTCACACAGTTATTTCCCAAATACAACAGTACTGGAAACCTCTACACCTAAAACGTACTGCTTGTTTATGTGTGAGTCAAAGCTGGGCTGGCCCCCAGCTGTTACAAACTGAGTAAAAGGAAGCCGCAGGTTAACAAAATATCCACTAAATGGCACGGGCAGCGACGCGTCCAGGACCTTCTCTGTACAGCTGGTAAAGACACGAGACGATGCACATGTCGAGAGCAGCCCCTGGGGACAGGCCAGCCCCCACCTGTTCTAACCAAGACGGGTCCGCAGGACAGACTCGGAGAGCGTCCAGCAGCCCGGCAGGTCCAGCAGCCCGGCAGGTTCACCTTCAGCCCGGCTGCATGACAACGGCCGCCGCGAGCTGGATCAGGGCGAGACATGCTACTCACCGGGCTCGGGGATGGCGGTGCGGACTCCGCGGGGCACGGGAAGCACAGCCCCATGGGGACGCTGGCACCTCTCGCCCGGCTTGGGATCTTCGCAGGGGGCTGTGGCAGGTCCCGCCCAACGACAAGCCCCGCCCCCACCTGACCCGCGGCAAAGTCCCGCCCTGCGGCGAGACCTGCCCCCACCTGAGGGGCAAGCCCCGCCCCAGGCCAGCGCCCCCAAAGCTCCGCCCAGAAGCTAGCCCCATCCCTGTCCGGCCAATGGCAAAACCCTACCCTACTCGACATAGCAACAAGCCACACCCCTCCAGGCTAACCGCAAGCCCCGCCTCCAGTGCTAACCAGCTCCACCTGACCCGGCGGCAATCTCAATTCATCCGGTCCAGTATCAAGCCCCGCCTCGGTCGCAAACCCCACCCAATAGGACTTAACTACAGGCCAACCCGTCGTCTTCACTCTGGGTCCTGAATCCCCACTATGGCAAAGCCCCACCCATCTGCGACAAGCCCCGCCTCTGCTGTGTCTCCATTGTTAGGCTCCACCCCTTCCAGTTGAGATCCGCCTGATCCACGGCTCCGCCCCATCCACTTAGCTGTCTATCAGCCCCTCCAAATGAGAACTCCCCACTCCCACCCGTCCCCTCACACCCCCTCCATCACCGCCTTCACCCCCACCCTTGGCTCTCGAGGTCCCACCCTTCGAGGGTGATATCTCAGGCTCTAAGGCTGTGCAGTGCCCAGTTCTGTGCACAGCCCACCCGCGCCAGGAGCTCTGCGCATGCGGACTTAGGCTCGTACAGGCACCTGTTAAGAAGACGGTTGGGAGAGCAGGAATTGTGGCCTCTGATCCCTGAAACTCGCAGTTCAGTTTGCTGTCAGCTGCCCTGTCTGTTTCTCCGTGGGGTCAGTGCTGTATCGCTGAGCCGGTAGGATGAGAAAACCTCCTCTTCTTCCCATCTCAGAGGCAGACGAGGGCGACTGCGTTTCCCTCATGGGAAAGCAATATAGTCCAACCAGAAAGACTTCCATGAAACGCGGCCCAAATTTCCAAACAGTAAGATTCCCCCGGCGTCTGCTTAAAACTAGATTTTGAAACGCTAGGGTCCACCCGACGTCCAGCCCATGTCTCCTCACACCAAGGCTTTGCAGTTAATCTGACAACCAGTATTTCCAAAATGCATCTGTCTGCACTCAAACACGACGCGTGCATTCTTTCTTTTAGATGAGACAGCTGACAGTTATGTATACCTTCTGACTGCTGGACTGTGTAAATTGGTGCCATTTCCATTTCTCGTTTTCATTTTTTTCTTCCTCTGTCTCCCAGCCTTCCCTTTCTGTCTGGTTGTATTTCTCTGGTCTCGTCATGGATTACCACACAGATTATGTTTAAGTGGACAAATGCTTCCAATCACATGGGTAAACACACAGAAACTATTATTTGAAGTTGCTGTGCTTCAAAATAGTACAAATATATTTCATTTTTTATTCCTTACAGACATGTGAGAATTTACTTCCACATTATCAACTTGGAACTTTTAGTTTTTCCATTTTTAAGAATTTTTACACTTTGATAGTTTCAGGTTTTGATAAATTCATGGAACTACAAAGTACAATTAACACAAATTCATCTCAAGTGTAAGGTTACTGATGACCATGGCTCTCGAGTTTTCTTCAGCTTAACCAAATCCCCATTTCTTCCTAATCATTCATCTCTGACCTCCCTATTCTTAGAGTTTGCATTAGAAATCTTTCCATGTTAAATTATTTTTCTGCCTCTTTAAGGTGTTCTCCTCCTAGCCTCTTAGTAGCTCTGTAGCACAAACTTTTACCGAGGACCACACTCAGAAATGGATAGCACCTCTAGTTCCCCATCTCTGTAGAACCCCTGAGTGTCTGACTCTCTAAGTGCCAGTCAGAAGAGGCAGATGGTCCAAGGGCATGGGACATCCTGTATCCTGACACCTTTCAGCTTCCTTCCCTTTGGTTCCTGTGCCGGCTAATCTTGGTTGCCAACTTCACACCCGATTACGTAATTGCCTTTTTCATGTTAGCCTGTGGGGATATCTGTGGAACATTTTCTTGACTGACAATTGACATAGGAGAGCCTCTCCTACTGTGGGTGGTACTATCATTCCCTAGCCAGGAGGGCTTGGGTTGTGCAAGAAAAGTAGCTAGGCTTCAACCAGGGAGCAAGGTAATAAGCAGTGTAGTTTCCAGGTTTCTGTTTCAAGTTCCTCTGTTGACATCTGCTTGGCTTCTCTAAATGATGAAGAACCACAAGCTGTTATATGAAGTAAACCCTTTCTTCCCATGTTGGTTCTAGTTAGTGTTTTATCACAGCAGTGGAAAGCAAACCAAGAGTAATTTCCAGGCGTGCAATCACTCCAACCTTTTATTGCAGTGCACTTAAGCTCTGTCTTCTTCCTAATGTAAATATTTTCTTGATTGTTCAATTCTATTAAAATTCTTCATTAATATCAGTTTTTCAATTGATATATTGTAATTGAAAGATTTATTTAATAAATGGAGGGAAACTATTTGCAATGCCAAGTAATTCTATTTCATTACTTGAGATGAAGGAGTCCACAGAAGTGTTATATGATAGTTTTATGGGAGAAAACTTGGAGAAGCTTTCTGTAAGGTGGATAGGCTATTATCTAGGAAAATATTGGTACAGCAAAGTGAAGGCTGGGATGGTCAGCTAGAAGCCTGTTAGGTAACATGAGGCTTTGTCGAGCTCTGACACAAACCCATGTGTGCCCAGTGTCATTGTTGGCACAACTGCTTCCTTCTCTGTGCTGGTTTGAGTTTCGCCAACTTGACACAAACTAGAGGCATCTGGGAAAAGGGAACTGCAGTTGAGAAAATGTTTCTATCAGATTGTCCTTAGACAAATCTAACGGGCATTATATTGACTACTGATTGATGGGAGAGGGCATAGCCCACTGTGGGTAGTGCCACCCCTAGGCCATGATCCTAGGATGGTTACAAAAGCAGGCTGAACAAACTAAGAGAAAAGAGGAGCGAGTCAGTAAGCAGCACTCCTCCACAGCCTCTGTTTCAGTTCCTGCCTCCAGGCTTGTGCCTTGTGTTCCTGCTCTGACTCCCTCAGTCATAGAGAATAGCCAGAGGTTGTGAGCTGAAATAGACCCTTCCCTTCCCAAGTTGCTTTGAGTCATGTATTTATTATAACAATACAAAACAAACTAATACACTCCCAACTTTGAGAGTAGATAAACCCTGTAAACATTCATTTGATGTTTTCTGCTGTCCTACGCTTAAGAAAGTGTGCTATAGAAGTGTGTATTGTTAATCTTTTCTATAGCAGAAAAGACAGGCATGACCTGGCAGGCAGCCTACCTGCCATGCTGTGCTTCTAAATGAGAAGCATGACACACCATGTCCCTGAGTATGCCCAAAAGTCAGAACACTGAAATCTGAAGTAGTGTGAGTAGCGGAAGCGGGCGTGCTAAAGAGTCTGCACTCTCTTGGTCTCCTTTTAGATGTTTCTCCTGGGACCTCCTAGTCAAAGAAACCAGGGCAGAATCAGAAATTTGCCTCCTGTCAGAGAGTGACTCAGATGCTGTGGTAAAGTGCCTGCCAGGGAAAGAGAGGAATTAAAAGCTTGAGTTAGAAATGTTTTGGTCTGGGTTCCTACAAATAAATTCTTGGTTTTCTATAGAGGGCCTCTTTGGTCTAGAGCTGTGCCAGAGAGCTTTGTAGAATGGACATAGGACGTTAGTGTAGGGTCAAATGTCAGAACCCACCTCCGAGTTTGAAAACTTACCAAAACTCACCAACCCCTGAGCCCCAAAACACACATTCCTAGTCACAAAAACCCATCAATTCCTGAGCTCTAAATACTGTAAATCCTCAGGTTTGACTTGATATCTCACCAATTCCTACCCTGGAAATCTCTATCCTGGATAACTCCCCCAGAAACTCTGAATAAGCCTGTCTCCTGCTCAGGTCCCTGCCGTTTCTCTCCTGAGCAGAGGCAGCCACCCTCCTGGAATTTTCCCTCCTATTAAGTCTCTTGTGTGGGATTTGCTGTGCAGTGTAACTTTGGGGTATTTCTTGGCTTCAGGCTGCCAGGATCCCTTTCTCCTCAGAGCTGTAACACTTATATAGGGGGAGCCTCTCCCTTTGGAGTTGTAACACTTCCTCTGGGGAAGCATTTCCCTTAAGAGCTGCAACACTTGTACTGGGGAAGCCTTTCCCCTCAGAGCTGTAACACAGTCAGAGCTGGACACTCCTTGTCTGACTCTTTCGATCCTATTATTACAGTAATAATCGAGCACCTACCTGAGGGAGAGAAAACACTTAAGCCATTACAAGCTTTCCTAGTGGGAGAGAGAGATGGGGAGAATGAAAAAGAAGAGGAGGGAGGGAATCAAGATGGCACTGATAAAATTCTTGCTGTGCCACAAAAGAGTGTGCATTTGACAAGAAGGAGGAAGTCAGCAAGGCACCAGAAGTGTGATCCGATGGAAGACCTCCTCTTGATGCCAACTTTATACCCATCCTTGAATGCATTGCTTGAACAGTGAAGCTTAGCAAGTGAAGAATCTCAGGCGCCACCACATTCTTCTCCTTTCTCACAGCTTTGGGCAAAGTCGTTATGATTGCTGGCAGAATCAGCAACCCAAAGTCTCAACTTTTCCACCAAATATAAATCCTACCTGTGGCGCGCATCCTGACCAGCAGGAATGAACGCCACTAAAAACGAGAATTCCTTCCCTGGTCACGTCTTTATTCGGAGCATTCCGGTGAGGAAAATTGGGGGAAGGGAAGATAGAGCAGGGACAAGAGAAAGCTTAGAGAGAGAGAGTAGAGCCCCGAGGCAGCTGCTTTTAAATGGTGGAGAGGCTTGAACGCTGTCCTGATTGGTTAATGCCATTCTGCTGGTCTGAGCATGTGCAAGCAAGGGTGCAGGCAAGGGTGCTCAGCCCCACATGGCTAAGCCAGGTATACCTCCAAACTGCAGGACCACCTGTGCCTCCAGGTGGCTCCCAACAGCTCCCCCTATTAATGTCTTTAAGAGCAATAAGGCAAAACTATTTTCCAATCTGGTCCCCACTTCATGATGTGTGGACCGATTAAAGAAAAGAAAAACAAGACACACCCTTCCCGTGCAATGGGACACTACCCTGGGAGTGCTAGGGCTGTGTCTGCACACCCTCCGCCTATGCATACCTTCCTCTATACCGTGGGATTATCTGGTCCCTAGAGGGTATGCATGGCTAATTGTCTATGAGCTCTTTTGAAGGCTGAGAGTCAAACTTGGGGTGAGGATACACATTCCAAGGCTGCCAAGGCCTGTGCCACAAAGACCTTGTCCCTCCTCACTTGGGCTAGCAGGTAGCACACCAATCAAAGACATACAGCACTTCCACCTAGACACAGCATGCCAAGAATATCTCTGCTCCCACCCATTCCTAAGGAAGGAAAAGGCAAAGTAGAGTCAGTCAGAAAATTGTTAAGAGATAAGAGGTTGCACAGGGTGTTGCTCAAGGCGATGGTGTGAAACAGCTGCTCTTGGCACCGCCCAGAAGGTCATCTCTGCTGCCTCCGCACGAATCTTCCACAGCAGGACACTCAGCATCCACTGGGTCATCTCTCTTCTTTATTTCTCTTGTCAGT